GAGCTCTCATTCTGAAACCACTGGTAAATATGCGCTCTTTTTTGCCGCCAAACAGATTCCCCCTGCGAGCCAGGCATTGCCGAGATGCCAGCACTGCGGTTTTTCTGTTCTTTTGGCTCGCAGGGGGGGTGATAAAAGCAGCCTCCTCTTGAAGGTGCCCCTGGCCGCTCCATCTATTCGTGGGGATCTACGCCTGCTGGAAAATGGGTCCAGCACAGCATCCCCTGTACATAATGAATAGCACTGAGATCAGACGTCAGTTTCCACCAGCATCGATTACCCCTTCAGATGCTAGCAGGGGATGCTGGACCCATTTTCCGCCACCAGCATTGATTACCCTTGTACATGGTTTTCCGGGGGATTGACTGCGCGGTAAGATCAACTTGTGACGATAAATATTAAATAATAAATATGCCTCTTCAGATGCTAGCAGTGCTTGCTCGTACCAACACTGCTAGCACATGCAAGGGATGCTTTTTTTTATTGGGGGGGGGCGGGGGAGGGGGGGGGGGAGTATGGTTTCCCCATTTCTTCATGAAATGTCGTTCATCTAGTTCGATCTGGATTCGAACTCGGGTCTGTATTTTACCATTTGCAACACTTCGTGATTTGCATGTACCAACTGATTCTTATCTTGTGGCGGTCGCTGCATGGTTTTCTGTACCTCTCTCGTTCTATCTAGTTCCCTCCGGACTCAAACTCGGGCCGGCATTTTCAACACTTGGTGGGCGTGTACCAACTGATTTTATTTTGTCTTGTCTCGTCTTGTGGGCGATGCGTGGTTTTCTTTACCTCTTGTTCTACACAGTGAACCGAAGTGGTTGGCACGGGTCGTTGAGGAGCAGAAGAGGATCATCGCAGAGCACGGTGCTGCATTGAATTTCGATGTCCTCAGCAAGATGGACGATCTGCACCTCGTAATCAAGGAGACTTTGCGACTGCATCCGCCGCTGATGATGCTGATGCGCTATGTGCACAGCGACTTCACCGTCACAACCGCCGAGGGCACATCCTACGTCATTCCCAAGGGTCACGTCATCGTAACCTCACCCTACTACGCTCACCGACTCGAACGTATATATCGAGACCCTCTTTCCTTCGATCCTGAACGGTTTGCGCCAGGGAGAGAAGAGGACAAAGTAGGCGGCGCGTTCTCGTACATCGCATTTGGCGGAGGACGCCATGGATGCCTCGGTGAAAACTTTGGCTACATGCAAATCAAAGCCATCTGGAGCATACTGATTCGAAACTTCGAGCTGGAACTGGTCTCTTCTTTCCCAGGAAGCGACTTCCGCTCTTTTGTCGTAGGCCCCACCGGCAGTTGTGCGTTCAGGTACAAAAGACGGGCAACACCACTTGCCTGAAGTTACATAATGGGTAATGGGGGTGGAGGGATTGAAAGGCACATAATGGGGGTGGACCCGGTGGAGGGATTGAAAGGCACATAGTGGGGGTGGACCCGGTGGAGGGATCGAAAGGTACATAATAGGGGTGGGAGGATTGAAAGGCACATAGTGGGGGTGGACCCGATGGAGGGATCGAAAGGTACATAATGGGGGTGGACACGGTGGAGGGATCGAAAGGTACATAATAGGGGTGGAGGGATTGAAAGGGACATGTAATGGAGGGGGAGGGATCGAAAGGTGCCAGGAAATTTATGAAGGATATGAAATGACCAGACCAATGAAGCGCTCAGGGTTATAAAGGTGTGCCATCAAGTAAGCTGGTCATCCATCATCCTGATTCATCCATGATTTGGACTTCCTTCACTGTCTCTTATGCTAATGGCGCTTCCCCCCCCCCCCCCCCAAACATTCTGCGAAATACCGTTCTATGCCTGGCCACAAAAAGGGTCGCACGACAGTCTTCCTGGAGATTTCCGTGAATTCCGTTTCCCGATGGAGACGTTTGAGTATGAAACAGGATCACACGACATGCATACGTTGAATGTCTTCCTCGTTTTCCCCGTGTGTTTCACTATTGTGCATGCAATGCCATGCATCGTATTCAGTAGAGCATGCATAATAGCATATAGCAGTAGCACACACTCTTACATGATTTTTTCAGGAAAGGCCTTCCTTTGTGCTTTTTTTTTCTAGGAATGTCCACATTTTATCTTTTTCCCCATGAAACACGGATATCCAGCCTATATATTTGTTTGGTTTGCTATAGCCTTAAACCGCTGGTACACGGCCCCAGCCTTGCTGAAAAGAAACTCGTAGACTACGAGATGCCATCCGAAAACGACGCGCATCCGCACCGTCGATAAAAAAAATCGGTGGCGTGCGTCGCTTTCTCGGATTCTGACAGGCGCCCACGTGCCGATAGCTGGATGTACTTGTGCTTTAAGATATATAGATAGCTCTTAGATGCACTGATAGACAGGATAGGTGTGAACACTGTGAAGGATCGGATAGATTAACAGAAAATAGCTGCATAGTCGTTGACTAGCAAACATGTGTGTGCACCTGTCTCTTATACACATCTAGATGTGTATAAG